CTTAGTAGGCTGCAAGTTAAATGTGAGTCATCAGTGTGATGTGGTAGCCAAAAAAGTTAATGCCATCTTAGGCTGTATTGAGAGTATAGTTTCTATGAATAAAGAGAAGACGGTCAAATTGTACTCTGCATTTCCCACACCAGATCTGGAGGACTGTGTTCAATTCTGGGTACTCTAGTTTAAGAAGGACATCTATAACCTAGAGAGAGTTCAGAAGAAGGCAATGAGGATGAGGAAGGACCTTGAGTCCATACCAGATGAAGATTGGTTGAAGAAACTGAAGACAAATAAAAGCCTAGAGAATAAGACTCTGGGGTGGCAGGATAGCTCTGGAGGGCTCACTATATTAATGCTGAACTTGGTGAGGACACTGTATCAACACGGCCCTACTAACGCTGCAGTTCAGAACTCCTGACTTCAAAAGATCTGCCAACCTCAGCATCTCTAGTTTCTAGGATTACAGATATACCCTTTCTAGTAGTTGAATTAGAGATATGCACCACTAGATCTGCTTAAAACCTCATATTTTCCAACAGCAATGATCTTCTAGTAATGGCTACCAATCATGACATACCTTGTCTCTGAATGATCAAAACTGTGAGTGATCCAAGGCAAAATAATGAGATGAATGGTGAATATAAATAGGTTGGGGCCTATTGCCAAATGAATGCAAAATATGGTATAAAAGGCATCATTAAGGAAGTGCATGTCCAGAAAACTAGAAAACCAATCAAATAGTGAAAATGAGGACATGTTGAATTTGGATTCTGGAAGCCTGGATTTCAATCCTGTTCCTCACACTGATTAGCAGTATAGACATGGATGAGTCATGTAACTTTTGTGCCTCAGTTTCTACGTATTTTAAATGTGGATAATAACATCTGTAGTATCTACTTTGTAGGGTTGTTGCAATGATAGAATCAATTAGTCGATCAAATCAGTATGTATTCATTAAGCATCTACTGTGTGACAAATGCTAGCCACTGAAGACACAAATACAAAGAATGAAACAATTCCTACTCATAAGGGCTTACATGAGATAACATACATAAAGCACTTGACTAAGCTTAAAATGTTGCTTTAAGTGTCAGCTATGATTCTTCATATCACAGATAATCAACCAGGCTCGTGATTGGTTGTCGTGAAATGCTAAAAGAGGAAGGTCTCTAGCACATTGGGCCAAACTTCAATACAGAATTGATGGGGAAATATGGACATGAATCTTACAGGATGGAGGCATGAATAATTATCAGTGTGTACCAGTGGAATGGTGCTAACATTACTAAGAGCACAGATCCATCAAATTATCAAAGTATATGTATCTTACTCCTGTACGAAACTATAAGGATTACATAAACAAGGATGATGTCTTCTTAGCCAAAATTTTGAATCTTGACCAACTTTGATAGATTTAGCTCTTTCTCAGCAATACAATACTCTAAGACAATTCCAAAAGATTCATGATGGAAAATGCTATCCATATCCAGAGAAAGAACTATGAAGTCTGAATGCAGATCAAAGCATGCTATTTTCTCTTTTTTTTCTTTCTCATGGTTTTTTTTCCCTTTTCTTCTGATTCTTCTTTCACAGCATGACTAATGTGGAAGCATGTTTGGTATGATTGCACCTATCTGGCCTATATTGGATTGCTTACTGTCTTGGGTTGGGAGGTGGGAAGGGAGGTAGAAAAAAAAATTGTAACTCAAAATGTTATAGAGGTAAATGTTGGAAACTGTTTTTGCATGTAATTGGAAAAAAATAAAATACAATTAAGTGAAAAACCATAAAATTTAATTTTGCATCTCTCCTAGGGCCTATCAAAATTCTCTCCCCACAACTGGCATTTAACAAATACTGTTTTGAAGTAAGTTTGTACTCCAGTGTGGGAAGTGATATTTCCACTATTCTTTGTCCTGGTCAGACCACATATGAAGTATTGTGCTCAGTTCTGGAGCTTCATTTAAGGAAGTGCATCAATAGCTGGCACGCATCCAGAAGAAGACAACAAAAACAGTGAGTAGACCAGAAACCAAGCTATACATGGAGCAGCTAACATAGCTGTGGATGTTTACCTTGAGGACAGAAGCCTAACATAATATTAGTCTTCAGACATTTGAGAGGCAGTCACGGGGAAGAAGGAAAATAACTGGCATTTATATAATATTTTAATGCTTGCAAAACAGTTTAAAGAACCACCAGGCTTCACATCTGTCCTGTCACTGACTCCTAAGGTCCTCCAGGCCTTACCATCTGCCCTCCAGACCCCCAGCACTGTCAACCACCTGCAGCTGAGCTCTCACTCCTGTCATTTCCCCCAAGTTATATGGGAGCTTCTTGTAAGCGGGAACTGTCTTGCAATCTCTGCTTATTTCCCTAGTAATTAGCACATGGGAAGCACTTACTGAGTTGTTTTTCATTCATTCACGCAATATCAAATTTATGCCCAAAACAATCTCATTATGAGTAGAACCAGATTATGAGTAGAATGAGGATCCAACAGTTACACATCCAGTGTCAGGGATGAGATTTGAACTCCAGCTTTCTAGATCCTAAGGCCAACAGTGTCAAAGGAAGAAAGGAAGGAAGGAAGAAGGAAGCAATGGAGAAAAGAAGGAGGGGAAGAAGGAAAAACTGAAGGAAGGAAGGAAGGATATGTACCAGCTGGATCAACCCTCCCACATGAGCCTTTAGGAATTCTGTGTGTCCGCATCCACTTGAAACAACTGGTCACAAGCCCCTATCAATATATTTGCTTTTGCTGGGCTAACCAGAGGGAGTTCATCAGAATAACAGATTAAGAGATAAAAGATCATTTAATTAGAAGGATCTCATTTTCAAGTAGCAGAAACTGAGTCCCAGAGGGATGGAATGACTTGCAAAGATGACAAATGTTGGAATGACAATGTTGGGATAGGAACACACATCCTCTGATTCAAATCCAGTTTTTACACACACACACAAATGCTTTTTATTAACTTAAAGCAAAAGACATTTAATCTAAAAGAACATCCAATTAAATGACAAGGAAATAGTCTCATCTTCACAAGGGCCCAGTTACATTTTCAGTACGGAAGAGTGCATGCAAGAGATAAGTGTGACTAGGGAACATCCATGGAGGGAAATCCACGGAGAGACATCCATATAAGGGACACATGTGACCACAGCATATAAGAAGGGGCATATGTGCAGGAGACACATTCAGCACAGCAGACATAATGCAGAAGCAGTTCACAGCTGTGATGCCTCAGAGATGAAAATATCCTTTAAGGATGTAAAGCACTGTTCTCCTTCGTTATTCTTCTGCTATTTAGCCTATCTGCTGCCCTCTGCTACCATCTGCTGGAGGTGCAACATTGAGTCAGCCTCTTTCTTGCAGGAGAGAGCTGAGGTCTATGGTGTATTGTATTTTATATATTATTCAAATATTGTTATGTATTATTCAAATATTATTCAAATAATTGTATATTATTAAAGTATGTTGTCTAGGATTATGGCCAGTCACACCTAGACTGGTGTTTTCAAAAATGAACCAGGGGCAGTTAGGTGGCAGAGTGGATGGAGCACTGACCCTGAAGTCAGGAGGACCTGAGTTCAAATCCGGCCTCAGAACAAACACTTGATGCTTACTAGCTGTGTAAGCCTAGGCAAGTCATTTAACCCCAGTTCCCTAAAAAAAAAAAAACAAATGTATATCATGGACACAGGCTGACAGATTAAATTCATACAGGTGGATAGTCAAGAAGGGAAATCCCAGACAGTTGAGAATTCAAAAAGATCTGTGACTCCTGAATGTTGAACCAATGTCTCATCTGCTATATGTGGAATACCTATGCTAAAATTCTCCTACTACTATTGAATTGTTGTGATATTACTATAAGACAAGCACTTTGTAATCTGAAAGCATTAAGTGAATGTAAAACATTATAAATCTGCATATTTTTTAAAGAATGAGTAAAGAACTTAAGTAACCTCTTACTATGTGCAAAGAATTGTGTTAAGGGCTGAAGATACATTTATGCTCTCAATGAATGCACATTCTAATGGGATGCCTTTTAAACACAAAAGAGGAGAGGCTGAAGATATGAGCAAAGCAAGGGACAAGTGAAGAAGCAAGTTCATTTCAGAGGCTATAAAAGTTTGCATCTAGCCTACTTATTTCTTCTGCCAAGAAAAGTGTCCTAGCCGGCCCTTCACAGCAACTTGCTGCCTGGAGACAGATGACACATCTCAGCCTTTAAAGCTTATTGGTTCCTCTTTTAGTCACTTTTCAATGTTAGGAGACTTAAAGATACCAGCCAGGGCTTTTTCTCCAACAAGTGAGGTGCTAAGTCCTGTTGATTGACTAGAGACCATCCATCCTGCTGTTTGCTTGTTCCCTGGACTCCTGCTCATCTCTAACATGGTTGATGTTTGGATCTCTGCTGGCTGCGGGAAGATTGGTCTGTTAATGACATCGATGGTGTTGAGTCTACCTTCTTCTTGGGCCAGGGAGATCCCAGGTAAGTGCAGTGATACTGCTCCCTGGGTCTTCCATGGTGTTCTTGGTCTCCCAAGAAGAGGGTGGTAAATTTCTGCCACTGGTTAAACTGAGTAGAGCTCCTTCCCCAGAAAAAAACCGGGTGATCATTTGGGGTAGATGGTGGAGCAGGGAGAGCTGTGTCAGAGTTCCAAAGACACCAAGGCCATCCTCAGGCTACTCTGGCATCAATGTATGTTTCTGTGGCCATGAGCAAAGTAGTGGGACTGAGGGGACTGTTTGAGGACTGAGGAGGTTCCCTTGAGAAAATTCATCTCTCACCTGCACTACATCCTCTGCGGGTTTCTCAATGCTCAGGTCAGCCCTGTTCTGAGAATTTCTTTCCTCAATCCATTGTTCACATCAATGTTAAATATTCCCAGTCTTCTCACAAAGCATCTGTCTCTTCTCTTTGTCTCTAGGATCAATTCCCAATTCCTCAGCCTGACATTTAAAGCCCAACCCAACTCTCAGTTCATTTTACTCTCCTTTGAACACTTCTCATTCCACTTGAACTATTCACTCAGCTTTTCCCAAAATTTAACTCTCATCTCTCTGCTCCAAGTATTTGCATAAGCTGCTCCTCATCCTTAGAATGTACTTCCTCCTCATCTCTGCTTCTGAGCCTTGACTTCCTTCAAGGAACAACTCAAGCGCCTCATCCTCCATGAAAACTTCCTTGATCTCTACAGGTTATAGTGTTTGCTTTTTCTTCAGATTCCCTCTTATAATGGTCTTTTGAATTTACCTACTGGGGAATCATTCTATACTCATTGTCCTTATACCTGGAGTATCCTGATACTACCAGGTTAGGGGAGGCCAAAGATGAGTGTGAAGATCCCCTTGCCCAGTTCTCTTCCTGTCAATTTGTGTCTCAGTTCCTTACCTTAACTGTTCTGTCTGGTGACAGGGGACTGACATAGCTCAAATCTAAGTGAGATGGGGGGACTTTGAGAAGAAACTGGGGCGCAGGGAGGAAGGAAAAGACCTGTTCAGGGCCCTGGAACATAGCATGTTAGCACTAGGGAATTTCTCCAAGATTCCTGGTTTCCAGTCAATCTTGGATTATTTTTCCAAATATTTCTGCCCCAGTGTACTCCATCCCCAAAATCTCAACTTCTAGGCAAATGGAGTGATCTTCCTCAAATTTGTCTTACCAATTTGTCACTTCCTCTTCTTTCACTGACTCCCTTCTCTCTCTCTCTCTCTCTCTCTCTCTCTCTCTCTCTCTTCTCTCTCTCTCTCTCTCTCTCTCTCTTTCTCTTTCTCTCTCTTTTTGTGTTATTGTTATCTAGATATCTTTCTCCCCATTTTGGGCTGTAATGATGAAATGAACAGGTTCTGCTGGGTATTTTTGTATATCCAGGGCTTTAAAATGTTTTGCACATAGTAGGGGCTTAATGATGTCACTTTGAGTTGAAAGCACCTTTTCTTCAGCACTAGACTTCTTTCTTCCCTGCCTCAGATTACACTAGTTGCTCATGGACCATGACATTCCTTGAACTTAGCTTATTTTTCTTGACTAAACCCTTTATTTTTCTGCGAATGTGGGATATTGACTGTAAGTTATTAAGCAAAGTGGCTTTTGGAAAAGATAACTGAGTCTGGAGTCAGAAGACTTGTGTTGCACCTCCAGCTGTGATACTTACTAGCCTAGTGTCCCTGGGTAAGTCATTTCAACAGGCTGTTCCTCACTTCCTTCCTGTGTAAAAGTGTGGGATTGGACCAAGTGAACTTGATGTTGGGTTGATAAGTAGGGATTTTTTCAAGTAGAACAGAAACAGTTGGGGTAGGACAATTGTGTCTGTGTGAAGGAGGTTTGCTGACCTGTGCAGCTGTACTGGGAAATAGGGGCAGGTTACTTAGATTACAGGGGTAGGGGTTTTTTCTAGGGGCAGGGGGCTTAGTTCAGGCAGGAGGAAAGCCTTGGAAGAGAATGAAGTCTTGAAAGCCTGGTAGCGGCAGCTCTGGGCAGGAGAGGGAGCAGGTAGGAGGAGGATCATGAGGGGATTTCCCAGAAGGAGGAAGGAGCGCAGCCTCTTCTCTTGCCCTAGCTGTGTCTGTGCCTCTAAGACAGAACTTTCTGTGGCTCCCCTCACTTCCCATTCCGACCTTCTCCACTTGCAGTGACTGTGTGTATGAGTTAATATGTGTAATTGTGTATGTAAGGGTCGTGTCTATGTGAATGTCTGTACCTGTGTGTGTCGGTGTGTGAGTGAATATGTGTGAATGTGTAATTTGAGTATGTGTGTATGTGAAGAGAGAGAGAGAGAGAGAGAGAGAGAGAGAGAGTGTGTGTGTGTGTGTGTGTGTGTGTGTGTGTGTGTGTGTGTGTGTGTGTGTGTTTGGGTGGGGCCGGAAGTAGGAAGCCACAAGCTATTACATGTTTCCGGGGTCATCTTCGTAGGGAGATAGCTTCCCCTCTGAGCCTCCAGACCCGAGGATGGCTCCCAAACTTCCATGGCAGAGGGGGGGAGGGGAGGGGAGGGGCAGGAGCGTGGCCTCACTGTCCCAGGATGGGCCGAACCAGCGACCCCTCCCCCGGCCTCTGAGGAGGGAGAGGGAGCTGGGAGCAAAGGGCTCAGAGAGGGAGGCCATGCAGGTGACCAGAGAGGCGATGAAGGCAGGCGGTCCTCGCCCAGTCACTGGGGCGGCGGGTCTGTCCGCAGAGGATTTCGTGCTTCAGTTCAAGGCTTACTGTTACTTCACCAACGGCACGCAGCTGGTGCGGCATGTGTGTAGATATATCTACAATGATGAGGAATACGCTCACTTCGACAGCGACGTGGGGGAGTTCGTGGCTGTGACGGAGCTGGGGCGGCCCGATGCTAAGTACTGGAACAGTCAGAAGGAAATCCTGGAGGAACAACGAGCCATTGTGGACACGGTGTGCCGACACAACTACGAGATAGATAAGCCCTTCACGGTGGACAGAAGAGGTGAGTGGCCCCGACCCTCACCCCCTGACTTCCGGGCCAGGACCGAGGGAAGGTGGAACCCTGACCCCAGACCTGAACGGGTGTCCTGAGCTGACCCAGAGGAGCTGGACCCTCGCCCCGACCCCGGACAGGAACCCCCAACCCCACACCACCCCCATCCCCCGCCAAGGGGCTGCTGTCAAAGCCAGGGCTGAGGGGACCCTGTGCGGACCCAGACAGTCTCCCATGGGCACTATGGGAGCCTGGAGGGTCTGACCCTACCCCCACCCCGACAAGGGAGAGCATCTCTGAGCCTGTGCTGGGCACCTCTGGGGGAGGCCTTCAGGGCCTGACAGCCAGGGGGACCCTCACCAGAAGGAAGGGACTGTTTGTAGGGGAAAGAAGCTTCTCTGTCTCCTCACACTTTGTCTCTCTCACCCCGAAGTCCAGCCCAGAGTGACCATCTCCCCCTCCAAGACAGAGGCCCTGCAGCACCTGCTGGTCTGCTCTGTCACTGGCTTCTATCCAAGCAAGATCAAGGTCACCTGGCTCAAGAATGGGCAGGAGGAGACAGCTGGGGTTGTGTCCACGGGTGTGATACAACATGGAGACTGGACCTACCAGATCCTAGTCATGTTGGAAATGATTCCCCAGAGCAGAGACATCTACACCTGCAGTGTGGAGCATGCCAGCCTGCAGAGCCCCATCAGTGTGGAATGGAGTGAGAGCCAACTCCCTTATTCTGTCCCCAGCCTGCCCTCTCCTTAAACCCCAGGACAGGGAGTTCCATAGCTCTGGAGGTCCTTCAGTGAATGTTCCCACAGACCCCCTTCCTATGCCCTGGATCATATGCATCCTACTCCCTGTCCCAGCATAGCTTCCTGGCTGCAGCATCAAGCTAGCATCCACAGAATCCTGCTGCTTTCTGTAAACACATTACTCAACAGGAAGAACTTGCAGAATCTTAGTCCATTCTCTCCTGGGGATCCAAATTCCCTTGACTGTCCCATACCCTAGGAGATGGATCATCTTTACCTCTGGGAATTCACTCTTTATATGTCTCTGAGATCAAGAAATGGGAAATGTCCTCAGAAAAGCAGTCATTCTCCCTGCCCCCAACCCTGACCTCCCTTGGCCTTTTTCTTTCCATTTCTCACTCAGTGGAGTTGGAGCGGGAATCCAGCCTTCTGCCCCCCCTCACCTGTCAATTTCTTAGTGCCCCCCCAAACCAGGCTGGACTCTGCAGTTTTAAATCACTGGTAGAGGGTGGGATGGAGAGGACTGATAAGTGATGACCCCAAGGCATGTTCTCTGCAGGAGCACAGTCTGACTCTGCCCAGAGCAAATTGCTGAGTGGAATTGGAGGCTTTGTCCTGGGGCTGATATTGCTAGGTGTAGGACTGTTCATCCACCTCAAGAACCAGAAAGGTAAGGAGCATGTCGGGGAGGCCATGGGGCTCTGGCTTTGGCCCCAGCTCCTGCCCCTTATCCTGTAGAGGGAACTTATCCAGGAGGTCAGATGCAAATCCGGGGGGTGAGAGACAATGTGGAATAGAAGGATTCTGTGATTGAGGGATAGAGTGAGAGCCAAATGCTGAGTCTGACAAAGAGAGAAGACCCCTCAGGCTTTTACAGCCCCTGAACTTCCCCTCCCCTTTTGTTGTGAGTAGAATTCCTCAGACATAATGGGGTAAAAGTTTAGGATGCCTCATGTTGGGGTGGTGGATGAGCTTCCCAACTCTAGGGTAGAAATCCTCCCCACTATAACGATTTGACTGTGACCTTGTATTGTTCTTTCTCATTTTTCCCCTGCCTCCTCAGGACGCACTGGGCCTCAGCCTACAGGTAATATCCCTTTCCCTTTGTGGCCAAGGATCATAATTCTCCATCCCTGAGCTCACAGACTGAAAGAATGAGCATAACTTTCGTTTTGTCGCTCCCTTACTAGGCTCTTTTGTTCCCTAATTGGGGCATCAACAGCTCCTTAGGATGGGAGAGGGAGTGGTACAATCAGTGATACTTCACCCTATTGCTACAAGAAGTTTCCAGGACTATTCTCCAAATATCCCATGATTCAGCAGAAGTCCTGCTTCAGGCAGTATCCCTTCCCTTTGAGATCAGAGTTTTCAGAGACACTCTCAGGGTTCCAGGGGGCAGGAGAAGAGGGAAAAATCTATGTTTTGATAAGAAAAATGGGAAAATCTCTTTGAGTAGTGATTTGAGGGCACAGGAAGGGTTAATGGGGACTCTACCTCCCAAGGATCATCAGGCTTCCCCTCCACTTGGAGAAGTAGAGCTGTTGCTGGAAGAGTCTGCAGCCTGTAATGACTGTCTTCCCCCCTGCAGGCCTGCTGAGGTGACCTTTGGATTGCATCCTTCCAAGACAGTGCCTTCCATCCCTGCTTTCCTGGCCAGGATCCCTAGTCATCCAGGAGGGAGGAGCAGCTGAGTCATTGTCCTGGAGCCAGCTTTCTCCTGTGCCTGGAGGCCATTTGCCATCCTCCATCTCCCAACAGACCCTGTAGTTTCCCCCTTCTGTTCTGGATGTTATCTACCCTCTCTTGGTTCAGGGCCTCAGGGAGAAGGAAGTCTGCTTCTGCTGTTCCCATACAGACTCCTTCTTTGTTACACTGCTACCCTTTCTGCATTAATCCCAGTCTTTTCTCTGTATTCTTCCTAAATAAATAATGTGTCATCTGTATCATTCATTGTGCCCCTGGGACTGCTGGAGGAGTCATATTTTAAAAAAATAAGGAGGAGGGGCTAGGAAGGGGCCCTGCTCTGTGCAAGGGGAAGGAAAGAGGCATCTGACAAAAGGAGCCTGAGACTGAGACCTGGTCTACCTCAAGTGTTATAAGCTGCAGCTGCCCATGTTTTGGCCCTCCTATCCTATGTGGTTGCAAGCCTAGTACTTTGTATACAGTCAGTGCTTAAGAATTCTTAGTTGAATGAAAGGATTTTTGAGAAAGGAGCCCCTTATTATGTCTGTCCATATTCCCCTTGTTATTCTGTGGAATTGAGAGGATGCCATAAATGGGGAGAGCTTAGTGGGAGGGCTGAGTAAACCCAAGTTAATCTACAATGTTTCTTTCTCCTGAGGGTTGTTCACCATCCCTTTTCAGTCTCTGTTTGCAGGTCCAGGTTTCCAGACTCCTCATGTATTCTAGTACTGAAAGGATTTCATGTGTAAAACCAATGAGTCACCTCTCTCTGACCAGTTAGCTCAATTTCTGTCTTTTTCCTCCCTACTTAGTTCTCCTTTCTCTCAGCTGAGGCTTTTTGCCCTACTGACAGAATTAGTTCAAACCCAGTCAACAGTAAGCACCAACTGTTAAGACCCAGCTTAGGAAGGTCCTAGAGCAAACCTGCACACATTGACATTGGCAAGGGCCTAAATTAAAATAGGCTAAATTCCTTTGGGCGGCAGATAGATTTTTAGTGGCTCATTTTCAAAGTGAAAGTATAATTAGTGATTAAACTATTTTGCAAATAAACCGTGTTTTTAAAAAGAGAAATTTCAATTAATGTCAATTAATTACACTTACTACTTAAGATTTTTATTCATCATGAAATCACTTCTCTCAGAGTAGAGACAGGCTAAGATGCTGGTTGCCATAGATCATGTGATAAACAGGAGAGAGTACAGTGGCAATCTACCACCAAGTTACATGATCGGCACTAAATTGACTAGTGGAAGGTGGGTTATTCAGGGCATGGACAAAGCACTTGTTACATGTTAACTTTCTTTTACATCTTCTACATTTTTCATGGGCCACCCAAAATCCATGGGCCATATGTTGTGCAGGCCTGTCTTAGAGATTTTCTTATGGACAATGCTGGTCTTTGCCTTCTGGAAGGGATACTTTTACCTGGGAGACTGGGGCAAACTTCATGAAGGAAGAGGCACCTGAGGTGAATTTTTGAAGGAAGAGAGAGATAGAATTGGGAATATGTTGGAGTTGGATGGTTGGGAGCAGAGAGAAAGGAAGGTGACACCTATTCGAAGCAGAAGAGCAGTATGCCTTCCATGTGGATAAGAATGAGGGATTTAAAAGTTTTCCAGTTTGCTTAGAAGACAGAATTTTGAGAAGTGGTATATGATCAAGGTACACATATATTGGGACTGCATATTAGAGGCCTTGACTGCCAAGAGTTAGCAATTTAATTTGTATATAGTAGGTGACTGGAAACCACTAAAGATTTCTCATTTTAACCCATATTAAATTAACCTTAATTAAGCATGGAAATCTCCTACTAAAGGTGACTGAACAATGCAGTTTGAGTTAAAGACAAGTAATAAGTTGTACATTTTCCCTAGGACTGGCCCTTAGGCCCCAAATTTTTTCTCCTTGAAAAGTTAATGCCTTATTGATAGTTATGGAAATGAATTCATTTTAGCAAAATGATTACTTTTTTGGGTTTTTTTCTTTTTATTCCTCACTTACTAGTATTTTTATATCCAGTTACATATAAAGATAGTTTTCAACATTCACTTTTATAAGATTTTTTCCAGATTTTTTCTCCTTCGTTTTCTCTCGTCCCCTCTCCCCAAAACAGCAAACAGTCTGATATAGGTTACATGTACAAGCACATTAAACACATTAGTCATCTTGTGGAAGAAGAATCAGAACAAAAAGGGAAAACCACAAGAAAGAAAATACAACAAAAAATGAAAGTAGTATGCTTTGATCTGCATTCAGACTCCATGGTTCTTTCTCTGGATGTGGAGAGCATTTTCCATCATGAGTGTTTTGGAATTGTCTTACATCATGTATTACTGAGAAGAGCCAAGTCCATCAAAGATGATCATCACACAATGTTGCTGTTACTGTGTACGATGTTCTCCTGGTTCTGCTCATTTCACTCAGCATGATTTCATTGTAAGTCTTTTCAGGTTTTTCTGAAATCTGCCTGTTCATCATTTCTTATAGCACAATAGCGTTCAGCCATTTCCCAATTGAGGGGCATGCCCTCAATTTCCAATTCTGCTATGTAGGTGACTGGAAAACATGTACATGTGTGTCTTTTTCCATTTTTTATGATCTCTTTTGGATACAAACCTAGTAATGGTATTCCTGGATCAAAGAGTATGCACAGCTTTAGAGCCCTTTGGGCATAGTTCCAGAATGGTTGAATCAGTTCACAACTCCACCAACAATGCATTAGTGTTCCAATTTCCCCACATTTCTTCTCCCACATTTATCATTTTCCTTTTGTGTCATTAGCCAAATGGATAGATGTGAAATGGTACCTCAGAGTTGTTTTAATTTGCATTTCTCTACTCAATCATGATTTAGAGCACTTCTTAATATGCGTTTACGTAGCTTTGATTTCTTCATCTAAAAACTGCCTATTCATATCCTATGACCATTTCTCAATGGTCATTTTGGGAATGACTTTTATTCTTATAAATTTGAATCAGTTCTCTGTATATTTTAGGAATGAGGCTTTTATCTGATACACTGTCAGTAAAAATTATTTCCTAGCTTTCTGCTTTCCATCTCATCTTGGCTGCATAGGCTTTTTATTTAATGTAATCCAAGCCTTTTCAATTTAATGTCATCAAAACTATCCATTTTATATTTCATAATGTTCTCTATCTCTTGTTTGTTCATAAATTCTTCCCTTCTCCATAGATCTGACAAGTAAACTATTTCTTGCCCCTTTATGTCTAAATCATGCCATTAACTTGGTATATAGTATAAGATGTCAGTCTGTGCCTAGTTTCTGTCATACTGTTTTCCAGTTTTCCCGTAAGTTTCTGTCAAAGAGTGAGTTCTTACCCCAGCAGCTGGAGTCTTTGGGGTTATGAAACAATAGGTTACTGTAATTATTGGCTGCTGTGTCTTACGGACCTAACCTATTCCACTGATTCTCCACTCTATTTCTTAGCCAGTACCAGATAGTTTTGATGATTGCTGCTGTATAATATAGTATTAGATCTGGTACAACTAGGCCACCCTCCTTTGTATTTTTTTTTCATTAATTCCTTTCATATTCTTGACCTTTTTTTTTCCAGATGAATTTTGTTATTACTTTTTCTAGCTCTATAAATGATTTTGGTAGTTTGATTGTTATGGCATTGAATAAGTAAATTAATTAAGTAGAAATGGCATTTTTATCATATTAGCTCAGCCTACCCATGAGCAACTGATAATTTTCCAGTTATTTAAATCTAAATTTATTTGTGTGAAAAGTGTTTTGTAATTCTGTTCATATAGTTCCTGGGTTTGTCTTGGCAGGCAGACTCCTAAATAATTTATATTGTCTGCATTTATTTTAAATAGAATTTATCTTTCTATCTCTTGCTGCTGGGCCTTGTTAGTAATATATAGAAATGTCAATGGTTTATATGGGTGTATTTTCTGTCCTGCAACTTTGCTGAATTTGTTTATTATTTCAAGTAATTTTTTACTTGATTCTCTAGGATTCTCTAAGTATACCACCATATCATCTACAGAGTGATGGTTTTGTTTCCTCATTCCCTATTCTAATTCCTTCAATTTCAGCAAAATATTGAAGAACTTATTATTGCAAAGCATTCAGGAAAGTCACCACAGTAAGTGTTTTATTCAGTCCTGGGCAGCCTATGCCCCCATTATTTTCAGCTGTTCTGGAAAGATGCAGATTTTCACAGAACCACACCATAAATTAATCAAAAAGCATTTATTAAATACCTGCTGTGTTCCATGTGCTGTTCTAGTTGCTGGAGATAAAAAGACAAAAAAATCAAGCAATGCCTGCCCTGAAGAAACTTCTAATTTATCTAGGAAAACAACATGATGAAGTAAAAACAGACCTAAGCTGGGCAGAGGCCTAGGGATCCCCTTTCCCAGGAAGAGGCCCCTCCACTCTGGGCTGCCTCAGGTACTGGGTATAGTCCTGGAACAGTGCAGCCTCAAAAGAAGGGGTCAGGGTCTTTACTGCACTGGCTTTAAGCTCCATTATGAAGGCCAAGTGAAAACCACTTCAAACTTACATTTTGCATAAGTCAAGGGTCCCCCCAAAAAAGCATAAAGTATTCAATGTATAATGTTGATCTGATGCAGGACATGAAATGGTTTCATTCACATGAAATAAATGATCACCACATAAAGACTCCTAATTGCACAACTAAACAACTCCTTTAAGGCCCATGTCACCTGGTAAGCCCTGCCAAGGCTTGACCACTCATCTCAAGGATGGCTACCAACTTCTCCAAGAAAGATTGTACTTGTTCCAGAGGCTCCTCCAAAGGTATAGTCAGAACTGACACAGGAACACAGTAGCTCTAGACCTGCTGAGGTCATGGGCTTGCTTCTAATATGATTCTGAAATTAAGTATAAATTATTGGCAAGAGCCAAAGATTCATTCATGAAGGAGGTTTAGGAAGGCAGGCATACAACCTGATCCTGCTAATAATGGAAAAGGCTGGCTTTAAGAAGTCCCAGATTGGCAGCTGGTCTCCAATGACAACAGGTTCTGGGGTGAGAGGGCATGCCTGCCAAGGCTTTTGTCAAAGTTCCAAGCACTACACAGGATATGTTGGTCAAGACATCTTATGGGGAAATTGGAACAGCTAGTCTCTCTGGTCTTTATACTGTTTTCTAACTGACATGGCAATTGAACGTAATCAGATACATTAAAGATAAATGTTTTGTTTTAGAAAGACAAGATTATGACTTTCAGAAAACATGATTTATGTTGTTTTGCATGCAAACTTCCA